ATAGGATCCGAACCCGCAGCGGGAGCACTGCTGCACTCCCAGCGCCGCACTCTCCCGAGTGCACTACGGGCTTGGCCCTCTCCTTCCATTTTTTAACAGGACTAGTGAGTTAGGGACTGTTGTATCTTCATCTTACAGTTGAGGGCACTGAGGCTCAGAGAGAGAAAGTAACTGGTTCAAGTTCACACAGCTAGGTAAACAGCAGAGCCTGCTCTGTCTGTTTCCAGTCCCTGTAATTAACCAATATGTATCCTACTTAACTCTCCCAAATTAAAGTCATAAGAAACCACAGAATTTCTATTTCATCTGAAACTAATGACAATACTGCCTTGTAGTCATTTACTCACTTAATCAAAAATAGTTTATGTAGTACTTATTATGTGCAAGTCACTGGGATAAATAGTGCAGAGATATTAAGTTTTATTTTAAACCCTTTTTAATAAATAAAAAATTGAGAGCTATCATTAATTATTTTCATCTTATAGACCATGCACTGTATTAAGCATTTTACATACATGAATATGATGAACCTCAGAGCACCTCTGAGGTAGGTACTATTATTTTTACCATTTTACAGATGAAGAAATTAAGGTATGGCAGCTGTCTTCGTTGCTCAAGATCACACAGCTATTTTGTGGTAGACCACAAATTTGAACCCTGCTGTCTGATCAGAGCCTGTGCTCTTCTCCACCAGGCTCCTGTCCTTGGGAGATGGCAGCCTGAACAAAGAGGCAGATGCATACACGAACGTCTCTGCTGTAACACGGGAGATACCATCTGACCAACAGGAAGGGGAGACTATTACCTGGGTCTTGAGGGATGGGTAGGGGTTGGGGCCAATGCCAAGGGGGTGATATGAATTCCTACATAAGCGAATGGTCTGCCTGATGACTGGGCCAGGGGCATGATGATTGCCACTATTCCTAATATACTTTACCATTTATAAAACCATTTCACAATTTGGTAGGGTAAATAATATTATCTAACTTTAGAGACCAGGAAACTGAGGCTCGATGAGGATAAGGGACTTGCCCAAGCTCAGGTAATAGAATTCGTAGTTGAGTTGGGATTAGAATCCTGACATTGTGGTTCTCAAATTTGCCATCTCAGGCAAACTATTTGCTGCACGAGTCCCCTGATTTGACCCCACTGAGCTACTATGCTGGGTTGGGAGGTAACCAACACCAGTAAATAAAGACAACTCAGGGTTCCCAGAGGCAGTCCCTGGAGTCCCATCTGGGCTAGCCAGAGGTTACCACCATCCACAGTCCTACCCCAGGGCCCCCTAAAGTGTAGATAACTTTCAGGATGGGCTCCCAGTCTGGATGCGCCATCTAAAGAAGGGGCCTCAGAGGCTCACAAAGTTCATGGACCAACTCTGAGTAAAGGCCTCTGCTCCCTATTTCACTTAGGAACATGGGGTAACTGATCATGAGCACATGGATCATGTCTAATGCAGCTCAAATGATGCCTTGTTAGATAATACATATGGGTTTCCTTGCCCTCAATGAGCCTATAAGAGAGCATTTGAGAGGCAGAAGCCAACCCTGGGAATCATTCCACAGTGGTTGTGGTCAATGCAAAATGAATGCTTTCAACCTGACCTGTGACCCAGATGAGAAAGGGGCTGATCCAGACATAGAAAGCTAATGGGATGGGGTTGGGGGGCCAAAGCGTTTCAGGAGCAACAGCAAGGTGTGGGTGAGTGGTAGCATGGAGAACACAGTTGTTCAGGAAATGCTCCCGCTGCGGGTTTGGATCCTATATAGGGATGGCCGGTGCGCTCACTGGCTGAGCGCGGGGCGGCTGGTCTCAAAAAAGGACAAAAAAAAAAAAAAAAGAAAAAAGAAAATGGAAAGGATCTATATCTGAATTGTCCAGTTTACTAGCCACAAGCCACTAGCCACATGTTGCTCTTGGGCACTTGGAGTGTGGCTAGTGCAACTGAGAAGCCAAATTTTTTACTTAACTTGATTTTAATTTAAATGTAAATAGCCACACATGGCTAGTGGCTACTGTATTGGATATTGCAGCTCTAGTGATTTTACATGTGCTGTTCTGTCTGCCTTAGAGTACTCTCTTACTCTCCCTGGCTAACTGCTACTCATCCATCAGATTTCAATGTATTGCTTCTTCAAGGAGACCTTCTCTGACTCATCCATCTAAATTAGGAAATCTCATGTTATTCTGTCTCATAGCCCCAGTAACTTTCCTACATAGTTTGTATTAACAGTGGGATTGTTCATTTTTCTGATTTAACAGTTGTTTCTCCACTTAAGAGCAAGGATCATATCTGTTCACCATTGTATAACCATCTTTCAGCACAGTGACTGGCACTTAGCAGGGGTTCAGTAAATCCATCAAATGAATGAACTTTCTGAAACATTTTTTACATTTCCAGAGTAACACAGTTTTTGGAAAAAGTTCACAGGATGGTTTTTTTGTCTAGTACAGTGACACTCTAAAAGGTATCTCTCAGAACACATGTGCTCTAGGGGCTGGTTGAAGGGACTTAGGTGTCTGTCTTTGGGAAGTCCTACATGTTGTTATACCTAGTATCTTTCTGATGGTATAATGTAGGCTTTTTAGAGTGTTTCCCACCTTATCCAGTTTGTCATATGTAAGTTTAGACCTAAGTTCCCCAAATGGTTATTTGTATCATTTCAGGTAGCACAGTGCCTAAGACATAGTAGTTGCTCAAACACTAATTGACAATGCTTTGAAAACTGCAACATTCCATATAATGATGTAAGAGAAGCTCCTGCTTCAGAGGCTTGGGTGGACAATGTGAGGGAGGTGAGCCTAGAGGTCATTAGACAACAATTAATGAATAAAAGTTATTCCAAGAGCCAATTTTGGGGGTTGGCCGGTTAGCTTAGTTGGTTAGAGTGCAGCCTTAAAACACCAAGGTCGTGGGTTCAGATCCCCATACTGGCCAGCCACCAAAAACAAAAACAAAACAAGAGCCAATTTTGAATAGGGCAACAGATTTTCCCACCAACTCTCCATAAAAACACAGAAAGAAATTCAGGAATGGGAAAAATTCTAAAGCGAAGGCCAACATGTGACTGATGATTTACTAGGTACTTTCTATCTTAGATATTTTTTTTTTAACCCAAGTTGACTGTCATTCTTTTTCTAGTCCAAGTTAGTTGTGTCTGAAAAGATTGTTTTCCAAAGGGCCTAGCTATTTCTGGAAGATGGGAAATAATGGTGGTGGGCGATGGGGAGCAGGAAGGAGAAAGTAAGCATGGTTATTCTTTGAGATTGTGAGCTAGTTGGAAAAGCAGAGATCCGTGATGTGTAATTACACATTTACAGGTGGATTCTGAAGAGCCAGTTTTTGAGGCTGTCATCAACTGGGTGAAGCATTCCAAGAAGGAGCGAGAAGAATCCTTGCCTGACCTGCTGCAGTACGTGCGGATGCCCCTGCTGACCCCCAGGTACATCACAGATGTAATAGATACAGAGGTAAGTCATGCAAGACACTCAGCATCCGAAATCTTGACTAGCTCTTGTAGCTTAGTATTCTGTACTCAAAACTGATTATTTTAATGTAGACAGAGTCTCCTGGTTTGCCTCTCCAGGAATGCCAGGGGAGGTGGTAGTCCCCAGACAGATTTCTAGGAAAAATTAATTGCTTGGCAAGTCAGGTTCTTGATACAAATGAAAAGTCTATGGCTTAATTTAATTTTGTATTTTCTTGTCTTTTTGTTTTACATGACCCTAAGTGTTTTGTATAAGCAACATCAGATGATAAACTTTGTCCCCTTCTCCATTAAACACACATGGTTCCAAATTGTCCTGAAAAACAGGACTTCTGGTGAAGCCAGCATGAAAGTAGTTTGTTGCATTTTAGTATTAACTTTGTCATATCATGTTGAATTTATGTATGAAATTACTTCTCCAACTTAAGTTCTTCTGGTACATTTTCATGATTTTTACCATATATACCATATATGTTATCTAGACTGTACTTTGGGGGAACACTGATTTATAACATATAACATATAGGTAAGGCCCGGGTCAGTGAATGAACTCCTCCGCCTGTCCCAGCTCTAGGTCTCTTTGGAAGTTAACTACGAGCACATTTTTTCAGTTGCTCACATTAGAAAAGTTGCAAGTTGGTTAGTGTCACATCTCAGACTCTTTCTCCTATTTGTAATTTCTTACAACCCATCCACATACCTTTTGTGTCTAGTTCTTTACATTATGGTTAGGAGAACAGACTCTGGAGCCAGACTCAAGAGACTGAAATTCCAAATTTACCACTTAAGTATGTGATAAGATTACTTAATATATTTGTACCTCAGCTTTCTTCCTTTTTTTTTTCTCTTTTTTCTTTTTCATGTTAGACAGGTAACTTGCCAACATCAGTACAAGGTTTGAGAGAGGTGCATTTCACACAGTAGAGCAAAAACCCAATCATCACACCTTTTTTTGGCTTAAGCAACAGAAATTTATTTTCCCTAGGTTCTGGAGCAAGGTCCAAGATCAAGGTGTCAGCAGGGTTAGTTTTTTCTGAAGCCCTCTCCTTGTCTTGAATCATCACACTTTTCAAACCACACAGCTTTCTTATCTGTAAAGTGGAGATGATAGTAGTACCTACCTCATGGGTTGTCCTCAGTATTAAATAAGTTAGCCACGGGCCGGCCCATATGTAAGAGCTTTTATAACCATGTCTTGTACGTAAGTATTTGCTATTATGGTTTATTTTCCTTTTCAATTCATACTGAAAACTTCCTGGGTTTGGTTAATAGATGTGCTGTGTAATTACAGCTTGTATCAGTCAGAATCCCAACAGGAAACAGATGGCATGCTCAAAATAGGACAATTTAAGAAGGATTTATTTATAAAGGAGCTGTTTACAATAGAGCAACAACATAAGACAGTGAAATGACCTGGATCTAGTACAGTCAAGCTGTCAAAACCCCCAAGCCTGAAGGGACAAGGTTAAGGAGTGGTTACTAGAACCTGAAAGAGAGTCATGTAGAGTCACTGCCTTGAGAGGAGCTATGACCTTTGGTTGGACCAATCCCAACCAGAAACCAGAGAACATGGGAACCCTATTGACATAGTTCATATAGGCCAGTCTTCTGTGCCAGAGAGCAGAGTGGAGAAGGGTACATAGTAAATCTGGGGAGGCATATGAAAGATGTCTAGTACAGAGCTCTATCAGAAATAGGCATGGAGAGCGGGGGAGAAAGAAAGAAAAAATAAAAAGAAATAGACATGAGGATTATGACAATGCTGTGAACCTTGAGGAAAGTATTTCAGACGAGATATACTTCTCCCTGTCACCAGAAAATAACAGAAGGCTTTTGGTTTTCTCTTAAAATTTTTATCAGTTATTATGTGCTTGTATCTGCATAATCCCTGGAAGGATGTACAAACTAATAAAAGTAGTTACATGTAAGTGCTGAGGTAGATGGGAAATATTTCTCAGTATATCTTTTTATATCATTTGATTTTTGATTCATGTAATATATTACCTATTAAAAAAATAAAAATAAATTTTAAAAAATCATTTTTGGAAACCCACAGCATACTTAATTATTACTAGCAGTCCTGGAATCACAGGGCTTTGGAAACCGCTTTTCTATATTAAAAAGTTAATTCTTTATATGTGCCATTTGTATTCTTATAGTATTAGAGGTAGCCCCTGTGGCTCACTCTACTATCTGCTATATTTCAGCCTTTCATCCGCTGTAGTTTACAGTGCAGAGATCTAGTTGATGAAGCCAAGAAGTTTCATCTGAGGCCTGAACTGCGGAGTCAGATGCAGGGACCAAGGACAAGGGCTCGTCTAGGTAAGCTGACATTTTGGCAGAATGAGGGGTATTTTTCAACTACTTCTTGCAAATGGCATAATGCAGTTGAAAAAAACACTGTAAGAAATACAAAGACCTCATTTCAGACCCATTTTTAATCTTTTATTGTGTCATCTCAGACAAGTCACTTTACCACTCTAAACTTTCTTTCCTGTAATCCAAGGATATCTTCTCAATTTCACATAACTGTTTGGAGATTAAATGAGATAAAAGGTAAACACACTTGATAAATTGTCAAGTGTTATGTAATATGTTACAATTTTATTTCAATATATTTTGATTCTGTGAATTAGAGATTATTTTGAATCACATAGTAAGTGATATTTTCCCACTCATCCCTCCCTTTCCCCTTATGTGTTTTTTCATCTGGAATCTGAAAAGAGGACAGAAAAGGAGCTCACTATAGTAGAAAGTACAGGGCTTTGGGCAGTGACGTGCAGTAGTTAAAAGCATGGACTATGGAGCCAGACTGGGTGCAGATCCCAGTTTACCACTTACTAGGTATATTAACTTGAGCAGGAAACAACCTCTCTGTGCTTCAGTTGCCTCATCTGTAAAATGGAAATCATCATAGCACCTACCTCCAAGTTTGTTACAAAGAGTCAATAAAGTAACTTACGTAAAGGCTTAAAACAGTTTTTGGCACATAATAAACGCTATGTATGTTAGCCATTATTTTAGCAAACAGACTTAGGTTCAAATCCCAGCCCACGAATGACTGGTTGGGCAGGGTATCGATTTATCTGAGCCCAGGCTTGTACATCTGAAATGCGGGTTAGTGTCTTATCTCACTGGGCTTTTGGGGGTATTAAATGAGATACCGTTTAGAAGATGATTAACATTGTAGCTAGCACTTAATAGTATTCAGATATTATTTCACTTCCCATTTCCTGTTTTTCTCTACTTCACTGTCCCAAGAGCCTAGATATAATGTGTAAAAGGATTTTATAGGTTATGAATTTCTGTATATGTGGGATGGTATTTTGTTTTCTTTTCTTTTTCCTTTTTTTTTTTTTTTGACAGTTGGCCAGTATGGGGATCCGAACCTCACCACTGAGCTCTAACTAACTGTGCTAACAGGCCAGTCCCTTATTGTTTCCTTTTCTTGCTCTTATCTGACTAGGGACTCATGCATGCTAAGGTGTTAATTGATAATTAAACTGCTCACTGATAGGTTTAAGTAGAATGGTGATTTATCCCACTATATTTTTGAATTGCCTTAAGTGCTATATATTCACTGTAGAAATTTTAGAAATACAGAGAAGCAAAAAATAAAATCATCCATTATCCCACCAACCCAAAGATACTGTATTTTTTTAAAAGGGGAACTGTTAGAGAAGGCATTGTAGATGGTACTGTTCTATTAATTCCTGCAAGATGACAAAATGTGATCTGTATCTCATATTCTATATACAGAGATACAAATACCAAGGTCAAGGGTTCAGATCCCCATACTGGCCAGCCGCAAAAAAAAAAAAAAAAAAAAAACAAGGATATTTCAAAAAATTCATGGAAAGATTCATATTATCTTTCAGTTCTATTTTTCCACAAACTTGTTGAACTACACTCATATATGTCAACACAAGATATTTGGATCCCCTTACCAGTCAACCACCAAAAAAAATAAGAAAACCAAACACAGCATTCTTTGGAGGTGCATTTCCTGCATTTTTCTGAACAGGCAGCAAAAAGAGCTCCTGCTTGGTCAGAGAAATTGCTAAATGTGAAAATATTAGAAAAAATTATAGGAAAATATTTTTATAACTTCTGGGTGGAAGCCTTTTTTTTTCTTTTTTTAATTATAAAATGTATATAACGTAAAATTTACCATCATAATCATTTTTAAGTGTGCAGTTGAATAGTGCTGGATACATTCACACTGTTGTACAGCCAATCTAAAGGAATGCAAAAATCCACATTGAACAATATTACCTCACAGGGCTGGGATTGCAGGGAAATATTAACAATTAATTTTTTTTTATGTTTTATTTATATACTTCTGTGCTATTAACCATAAGCATGTGGTTACTTTTCATTATTTAAAAAATAATTTAAAATATTTTTTAAACACTATGTGAGCCAGTGATGTAGTGGAAAGAACCTGGCACTAGGGATTAGAGATTTTGCTTACTTTGATTTCTACTCTCATTTTTTTCACTCACTCTGGTAACTTGCTATTTGGACAATTCCTTTAACTTCTCTGGGTTACCAATTTTTCATTTGTATATCAAGGGAGTATATTAATCACTAAGGTGCTTTCTAATCAGAAGATATATTTCTTTTTTTCGTGATAGCACTAATTGCTTATTAAATTGAACTAAAGCCAATTAAAAGTTTTGTGAATCAGCAAACCCAGAAGATTCTTCGGAGGTATACTTCCTTCATTTTTCTGAACAGGCAATAACAGAAAGAGCTCTACTGGGTCAGAGAACTTGCTTATTGCCCTGACCTTGAGGGATTAGAATATACCTTAATATATAAGGTATATATATATTACCTTCTATATACCTTAATAATTTTGAGGTTATTTTTCAAATTTTCCAGAAGGGAAATGCTGAAGCTATTTCCAACTAGATTCATTTGTTTTGTTTTGTTTTTGGTGGCTGGCCAGCATGGGGATCTGAACCCTTGACCTTGGTGTTATCAGCACTGCACTCTAACCAAGTGAGCTAACCAGCCAGCACCCGACTAGGTTCTCGACATTCCCTTGTCAGTGTCTTAGAAGGTAGATTGTTTCTATCATCATGTCCTCTACCCATCTCTAATCATAGAGGTTGCTAAACCAGCTACCAGGATAATGACTGTTCTCATACAGTATAAGGAAATTAAATATACAGACAAATAAAAGTATCATCCCAAATAGGGGATTTTGTTTTACTTATTTTTCTTACCCACCACTCTCTCACAGAAGATATAATGGAAATATCTATCCTAATTTATAGCTGTCTGCTTTTCTGAACTAAAGATAAATGCAAATGGAAATGTAGGTCTCCGAACCCTGTTATTTTAGCAGTCCTGCAGTCTGTCTGCCCTATTTGTCTAACAGCCTACACACTCTCCTCTACCCCTCCCCTCTAAATTAATGACCCGGCACTGCCAGGATACCTCAGTTTTAGTAAAGTGCTTTTTCACACCATTCTTGTCAGATGTCCTAGACTTGCTTTCTTCTTCAAAATGATAAGAATCTAATCTAAGTACTCCATTCATTGGCAAAGAATGAACAGGCTTCCTTTGGTTGACCCTTTTACTAGCTCTTTTTTAATACATTAGTCAGATTGTTTGAGTATTGGCCCCCAACTTAGGGTACAAAGACATTAAACTCTTAGGAATTCTTCTAGAGGAGAAGGACTTTTCTAGGCACAAAGCAATGGAAGAAATTACCAAGGAAAAGATCAATATATTTGACTAAACAAAAAAACCCACACACAAAATTACAAGACAAATTAGGAAAATAGGTTTGGTACAACCACAGTAAAGGATTAAAAGCATTTGTATGTAAAGGGATCATAAAAACGTGGGGGTTGGTGGGCTGGCCAGTTAGCACACTTGGTTAGGGCACAGTGCTAATAACACCAAGGTCAAGGGTTTAGATCCCCATATCAGCCAGTCCCCGCCCCCCCCCCCCAAAAAAAAATGCATGGGAGAAACACTAAAATATAAGGGGCTTATCATTTGAAGCAAATTCTAGAAAGGATATAATTCCATCCCTATATATTATACTTCAGCATGTATCATTAACATATAAAGAACATTTCTTAACATATTCAAAATGCCATTATCACTCTCGAAAAAACACACACAATTCCTTATTATCATCACATGTCAAGTCCATGTTCATTTCATTTTTCCTATAATTTTGTTTGTTTGTTTTGGGCAACTGGCTGGTATGGGGACCCAAACCCTTGACCTTGGTGTTATAACACCATGCTCTATCCAACTTAGACCCATAATTTTTTGTTTGTTTTTGAACTCTTAAATTATTTTTCCTCCTGCTTTGGTTTTTCTTTGCACATTTATTATTCGAAGAAACCAGGCTGTTTGACCTGTAGAGCTTCTCACATTCTGGATTTTGCCACTTGCATCCTTACAGTGTCATTTAACATGTTTATCTGTCCTCTGTATTTCCTACAAACTGGTGGTTAGACTAGAAACTTGATAAGACTCAGGGTGAATTTTTTGGAAAAAATACTTTATAGTTGGTAGTGTTATCCTTTCTATTCATCACATCAGGAAATACACAATATCTGATAGTAATATATTAGCTTTTTCATCTAATGGTTTGTAGCAGCCATTGGTGATAGTTGTCAAATCCATTACATCATTAGGGGTTTGTCTGTGTTACTTGTCAGCTTCAAGGTGCTGCATTTCCTCTTTCAAGTCCATGTTACTTATGAGATTGCCTTGTTCTCCTAAAAGCCTTCCTAGTGGTTGAATTGTCCAAAGTTCCAGCTAACTATTTTCTCCATGAGTTCTACTAGAGCAGAAGCTGAGGGGATTTCCCCAAAGAGACTTTGCTCTTAGAAAAGAGCCAAGATAGGAAATATTTTATTAGAATTAGGCCTTATGGGAAAGGGGAAGGGTATAAAGGCTGTCAAAATAGCTTCTTTCGGAAAATGGAGAAAAAGACTTTCTTTTAAAAGCCTAGTCCTTGGTTACCTAGCAGTTTTGATGAATTGGCAGGGAATGTGATCATATAGTTGGTTAAACTGGAAAAGTAAATATTCATGGAAAAGAGATTTTAAACACCTATCACATAGTTCCTAAGCCTCAACCCTAAACTTTTTTGTTAGGTTTAACAGAGTGTTCTTTCCCCATGAGTACCTTTAGCCTCCCATCTGTACTTAGGACCTCAGATATTATGTCAGCCAAAGTCATCTAGATCGGTAGAAACAGTGTAGTGGTATGTTCAAGTTTGCCTTCTGGAGTTTTAATGTTGTCCAGAAATTTAAAGTTCAGAGATTCATTTCCTCAAGAGCTAGACCTCAAGAAGAAATAATTTCTCATTAGGCAGCCTTATGATGTATCTCCTATTTCAGATTGTTTCTCTGAGCCACATAAAAGAAGATATCCAAGAACCGTCTCTACTTGTACTGCCCTGTGAGTAGTTACCCAGCCAGGGATGGTTAAAGTAACCTATCTTTTTCTGCCTTTGTCCTCAGGAGCCAATGAAGTCCTTCTGGTGGTTGGGGGCTTCGGGAGTCAGCAGTCTCCCATTGACGTGGTAGAGAAGTATGACCCTAAGACTCAGGAGTGGAGCTTTTTGCCGGTTAGTGATGGTGGAACCATTCATAGGGAGAGACCTTAAATGTCCTCAGTCCCTAACTAGATCGTAACTAATCAAGTCCTAAGAGTAGAAAAGCCCAGTAACAGCATAATGTTCCTTACAACAGCGTTGTGTACACGGTAGGTACTCAGTAAACAGTTTTTGACTGTTTATGTTTGGTGGCTGGCTGGTGTGGGGATCTGAACCCTTGACCTTGCTGTCATCAGTACCACGCTCTAACCAACTGAGCTAACTGGCCAGCCCAGTTTTTGACTGGTTAGAAGATTAAAGTTCAGAAATGTTGTGGCCCTCTGGCAAATTAAATTCAGCTGATCACAGAAGCTCCCTGTATAACTCTAAGCTCTCTGTATAACTCCCAGCATAGTCCATTGGTCATGCTGTGTTAAACTGAACTCAGTGTTAAATTGTGTTAAATGGAACTAGTGTTCAATTGAACTCAGAAATTTGGATCTTTCTCTCTTAGGATATTTCAAGTGCTGAATGGACAATAATAATTTCTGAGAAAACATGGAAATCTTTTGATCAATCCTCCTACATTTTAGGGTCTTCAAATCCTGGCCCCTTAACAATGTGGGAATACTTTTCCACTTTATGGAAAAATAACAGTCTCTTAGCCCAGTGCCTTATGGAAAAGAAAGGAGTCAGATACTGGATAAATAGAAGCCATTAAATCTTTTGGAAGCCTCAGAAAGAGGCAAATGTGCAAAAGGCTTGCATCTTGAAGAACACCACAACAAGCCTTTCATTCAGTAGGCAGTCAGCTGGAGGCCACTTGAGGATGAACCACTGCCTCAAGGAAGGTTCATGGTGACAGGGGAAGAAGAAAAGAAATATGTAGGTAAAAACAGGAAGGATAGCAAAAGGTAAGGCCCAAAATTTGCCTGACTGAAATGCTGTGTATCTTTTCTCTCCCAAATCTATAGAGCATCACTCGTAAGAGACGGTATGTGGCCTCAGTGTCCCTACATGACCGGATCTACGTAATTGGTGGCTATGATGGCCGTTCCCGCCTCAGTTCAGTGGAATGTCTAGACTACACAGCAGATGAGGATGGGGTCTGGTATTCTGTGGCCCCTATGAATGTCCGACGAGGACTTGCTGGAGCCACCACCCTGGGAGGTAGGCTTGATGTGCAGGGCAGTGTTTCCATCTTGTAACTGGATTAGGGTTCTTACCTCTCCTGTTGGCGGGGGCATGAAATATGGAGGATGAATTGGTATGGTTAAATATTTTTTTTTTGCTATTGGAAATATTAATGTTACAGAAACTGTTCAATATTCATAGATGTTTCAACACTGACTATAGGGCCGGCCCGTGGCTCACTCGGGAGAGTGCGGTGCTGATAACACCAAGGCCCCGGTTTCGGATCCCATATAGGGATAGCCGGTTTGCTCACTGGCTGAGCGTGGTGCTGACAACACCTAGTCAAGGGTTAAGATCCCCTTACCGGTCATCTTTTAAAAAAAAAAAAAAAAACACTGACTACAAAGTTGGTAAATCAAGTTCTAGTGTGCTGGGAAGGGAACTGGCACTAGTTGTTGTATTTTTGCAAACTCCCATGTAGTCTTCAAATGCCTTTAAGTATTTCATCTTATCCCATTCTTTTTAAATGTCTTGACTGTGGTGTCTTCCTAGTTTATAAGACTGAATTGATTTATCCTATAAAAAAATACTTTGTTTTTGCTCCCAGACAATTGAAGGACCCATGGGGAATTTGTAGAAAGAAGAGTTCGTAGAAATCCCTCACTCTATAATAGTCTGTCATTTTTTCATTCTGAGCAGATATGATCTACGTCTCTGGAGGCTTTGATGGAAGCAGGCGTCATACCAGTATGGAGCGATATGACCCAAACATTGACCAGTGGAGCATGCTGGGAGATATGCAGACAGCCCGGGAAGGCGCTGGACTAGTAGTAGCCAGCGGAGTGATCTACTGCCTAGGTATTCAGTCTGGGGCTCAGGGATGGGAGAGAACTCAATGGCTAGCAGACTCTGGGTAGGGATCCTTTTCTATCAGAATTAAGTTCTTCCTTCAGTGAAAACTCTGCTCTTTCTCAATATATTTCCCATTAACTGACATTATCTTTTTCTTGTACGCAAAAAAGTAGGGTACTCTTCAGGTTATTGGAATTTTTTTTTTTTTTTTTTTTTTCTACCTGCTGATTAAACCACAGCCGATGAGATACGTGGCACATCCTATCTCAGGAAGAGATGCAGAGGAGGTTGAAAGGGAGGCAGAGAAGTGGGAGTAAAGGACCAGGGAGAGAGACTCATCTTACACTCCCTTAGGAGGACAGGGTTAGTATATCAGACCTGAGGTTAGAGTAAGTGAAGTAAACAATCTGAGGCAATGTGAGTGAAATTAGAACACCACTGAACTTATAACCTGGAAGATCGAGAAGGCTGTATTATTTGAAGGTTGTTTTTTTCCCCAAGGTCTTTCTAAAGTAGAGTGTTGTGCATCCGTGCAGTAGAGACTGGGAGAATAACAAGAGTTAACAAATCTTGGGATGAGAGGCAATAGCATAAATGTGAGAATTCAACATACCTGGGGATGAACTAGAAGTACCTGTGATTTTACAATTGTCTTATTTCCTGCCAAGGTTCATCTAGCCCTGGCAGTGTTTGCCTTGAATGGTGAGAGACTGTCTTTTTTTGTTGAATCCAATACTACTACACCATTACACTTCCACACTATTTATTAGGGGATGGGGTGGGGATGGCAGCAGCCCAGTGGTTCAGCTACCTGATTACTGCCCATTCTTTTAAGGGCACACTTCTGGTAAGGAGTGATTTTTACTGCTGTGTTTGGTACATTTAGTCCTTTTCCTGCTATAAGTTTCCCTTACATGTCCGTAGAATGGATTTTATTCATTCCAGGACAGAATAATCAAGGACAACAAAAATTCCTTTGTTAGTTCTAGTACCTCTGCTATCACCATTTCTGAGCTACCATTCAAGGCACCTGTGTATCATGGAGTGAAATTCTTGCTTTATAAGTATTGAGAGTGTGGGAATGCCATAACCTAAACAAGGGTGTACTTTCCCTTTGCTCTGAAATTCCATTTTTTCCTCTTTCCCTGAGTTGTACTGACCTACAGAGTTAATTTCCTTTGTATTTTTTTAAGAAAATATTAAAAATTAACTGTCTCAGATGTCTTTAAGAGAGTTTGTGGCTAACCAGCACTGCCTTAAGCAGACATTTTGGGAGACAGGGTATGGAGATCAGCTGTAGGTCCCATCTGTTCAACCTGTTCACCGGTGTGTTTTCCTACTAACTCTGCTGTTTCTCTGTTAGACACAGGTAAGAGGAAGCCACTTTACCACTATGGAGATTCTCATCAGTAAATGTTTACCTGTATTTGCCATATTCCTTGGCCCTTCTCACACTTGGAGTTTACTTCAAAACCATAGAGAATAAAGAGGCAATCTTGAACTCATTTAGTGCACACTTGAATTTCAGGGTTTCAGTCACCCCAGTCCTTTTTCCATTTGCTTCCATTTATGGCATGTTATGTAAACAGCTATGCAGAAGGCCTACAAAATCAAAACTCCTGGTGTTCCCAGAGCAAAAGGAAGGAGGAGCAACAAGAGAAAGTTTTCCCTAAGGAAGCTTGTCAACCTTTCTTAAACAGATGGATTGTACCTGCTGATTAAACCACAGCCGATGAGATACGTGGCACATCCTATCTCAGGAAGAGATGCAGAGGAGGTTGAAAGGGAGGCAGAGAAGTGGGAGTAAAGGACTGATTGTTCTTAAGCTGTCTTTAGTGCGGACTTCTGAGTTTCAGACCAAATTCACATATAGTTCATACACTGCATCCACAATTGAATATTCTGCATAAAAATCAACATGTAAAATTCCTTGGTCCTTTTCCACTCTTTTCCCAATCTTACACACACTCACATGCTCACACATGTGCACAGAGATACCCCTAATTGGTGGTTACTCCTGCTTTTCTAGCTCCCTTAACTGGTAACCAGCAACTTAGTTACCTAACCTAGGAAAGCTATCATTTATCTTGTGTCATCCCCATTACAGTATAGACATCCAGTTAGCTTCTGAGTTCTACACAATTATATCTTTAATTGTTCCAAATCCATTCCCATATCTTCATTCCCTCTGCTACAGACAGTACAGGCCTTTATCTCTTGGCTGGACTCTGAGGTAATAGCATCCTGATATCCTTACCTCTACTCTTCCTCTCTTCCAATCTAGCCCTTCATTCTTGTCATCAGTTGTCTTTCTTTTTTTTTTTCACCAAAAGGTGACCAGTAAGGGGATCTTAACTCTTGACTTGGTGTTGTCAGCACCACGGTCTCCCAAGTGAGCTAACTGGCCATCCCTATATAGGGATCTGAACCCGTGGCCTTGGTGTTATCAGCACCACTCTCTCCGGAGTGAGCCACGGGCCGGCCCTTCAATTGTGTTTCTAAGGCACAGATAGGATTATGCATACTTAACATACAGCAGATTTTCAGTAAATATCAGTTATTTTTGGCCTAAAACTCCATAGATTTCCATATCCCACAGTGTAAAGTTCAAATTCCTTAGACCTGTTGTGATCTAGGCCCATTCTACCTCTCTGTCTTACCTATTTGTACCACTCCCTCTTCCCCCAGGTATAATGTGTTTCAACCACAGCAGACCACTAACCATTCTTAATTTTTTTCTCACCTTTGTTCATGTATTATATTGCTCCTTCTGTCTAAAATAGTCTTGCTTTCCTGACAATCCTAGTCACCTTTTAATGCCTAACTCAAATGTCACCTGGGTAAAACCCTAACTCTTCAGACAGAACTATTCCCTATTTCATGCTTCCATTTATAACGTTCCCATGATTGTGTTTATCACATGCCATTGGGTCTTCCTGTTTAGACTGTACATGATGTACATGATGGTTTGACTTACTATTTCTTGACTTTACAATGCTGTGAAAGCTACACATTCAGTAGAAACTACTTCAAGTACACACAACTATTCTGTTTTTCACTTTCAGTACAGTATTCAGTAAATTACATGAGATATTTCAACATTTTATTATAAAATAGAATTTGTGTTAGATGATTTTGCCCAACTGTAGGCTAATGTAAGCATTCTGAGCACGTTTAAGTAGGCTGGGTGTACTAAATGCATTTTAACGTAACATTTTCAAATTAAGATGGGTTTATCAGAACATCAAAATCGAGGAGTATTTGTATTCTCAATTACAAAGTGCCTATTATCATATCCTCAGGGTTTAGCATAATGTCTGATATACAGTTACTAAATGTGGAATTAATGAAGGACAAAGAGGAAGGAGAAAAAATGTGCAGATGGGGGTGGTGGGTAGATTAGACATTACTTAATCAGGTGTCTTAGTTCCCCTTCATATTCTGCTTCCCCTGCCCATTTCAGGAAACTCATGGCCTGTTGCATTAGAATAAGCTGGAGATCTAAAGACTAATCAGATGGAATGAGAAAGTACATAGTTAAGAGCAGTGGCATTAGAGCTATGCCTGGATCTATGGACCCTGCCTGGGTGTACTAAATGCATTTTAACGTAACATTTTCAAATTAAGATGGGTTTATCAGAACATCAAAATCGAGGAGTATTTGTATTCTCAATTACAAAGTGCCTATTATCATATCCTCAGGGTTTAGCATAATGTCTGATATACAGTTACTAAATGTGGAATTAATGAAGGACAAAGAGGAAGGAGAAAAAATGTGCAGATGGGGGTGGTGGGTAGATTAGACATTACTTAATCAGGTGTCTTAGTTCCCCTTCATATTCTGCTTCCCCTGCCCATTTCAGGAAACTCATGGCCTGTTGCATTAGAATAAGCTGGAGATCTAAAGACTAATCAGATGGAATGAGAAAGTACATAGTTAAGAGCAGTGGCATTAGAGCTATGCCTGGATCTATGGACCCTGCAAAGTAACCTTTCTGATCTTTACCCTCCTCATTGTGCACTGGGGATAACAAGAGTGCCAGCCCCATAAGGAAACTGATGATTTGATAAGCTTCTAAAACGCTCCAACACGATGTTTCATCACATAGTAAATGATCACTATGATTACAATAGAGAGACTAGCAATTAAAGCTTCCAGGCATCTTTTTCTAACACTAAAAAGCTACATAACTTTCTAAGTAGTTTCCTATAGAAGAAGGGAGTCCAAACCAGATTTCCTTCATATTGCCTCAATAATATCACTCATGACACTAAATTCAAATATCAGAAAACTAATGAGTAAGGTCATCCTCAATGATTTGTCTAGTTCTTAATATTAAAGAAAACACAGTGACGGAGAGGGGACTATGGAGAGGAAAGATTTGTCACCGGTCCCTGTAAAGCCATGCCAACACCTGGCCACACAAGTTAGGCGATGAATGAAGGCGCTTGCGCACTCGAGGGCAGCGCGGGGTTGAGGGGGGGAGAAGCGGACGCCTGCGCACAGAGGGAGTGCTCGTCCGCTCCCCTCCCCGCCTCCGCCAAGCCGCGCCCGCGCAGTTAAGACCGAGCAGAGACAGCGCCTGCGCGGCCGAGGCCGAGGAGGCTGTGGCGGTCGCGGCGATGGAAGCAGCGGAGCCGCTGAACGAGCTAGTGTCAGCCGAGGGCCGAAACCGGAAGGCGGTGCTGTGCCAACGTTGTGGCTCCCGGGTGCTGCAGCCAGGGACTGCTGTCTTCTCCCGCCGGCAGGTAGGGGGGCAGGTCAGAGGCCGCCTACACCCGCACTCTTTCCCAGAGGGGCACAAGCGCTCAGAGCTGGCGTCCGGGACCCTCAGTTTCCGGAGACCGCGTCCCTCCTCGAGGGTGCTTCGGCCCCGCCCCCGGGCGCTCCCCGGCAAGGCTCCGCCCCTGGGGCCGCCGCGGCGGAAGCGGGTCGGTGTCCAGCCGCTGAAGCCTTTTGCCGCGAGAGCCTTTTCTTGTTCCTTCTACCCGGTCGCGGCCCGCCAGCCCGTGCGTCCCAGGCCCGGCCCCCTCCCCGGTCGCCGCGAGCCGCCGCGCACTGTAGGGCTGCTGCTCCGCGTGCACGTGGGAAGGGCGCGCCCCCGCCCGCGGCTTCCTCGGGCTCTGGCCAACCCGAGACCCGCAGGTGTGTCCCTGCTGCCGCTCGGACGCTGCCCGGTGGCGCTTGTCACTTGGCGCTGGTGTGACCACCAGTCCTTAGTTCATCTCGTTTCTCACAGGCGTCTGCCCCACCGAGGGGCTCCGGAAACGACTTTGGTGTAGGGCATGACAGAGTAACTCCTGTAACCTACATGCTTTATCAAGGACTGGAAGCCACTGTTTTCCAGTTGAATAACATTTCACGTGCGATGGATAGCTGAAGTCCGAGAAATAAATTTTGAAGGAAGACTTAATTTTTTTCTTTCAAGTTGGGAGTTTCAATACCCTTCGTACCACCTTCACACCCCAAGTGAAAGAGTTGAAAATTTTTATTTTGGTACTTTTTATTCAAGTGTAATATACCTGCAGAAAAGTGCAAAATGTAATCTCATTTCAACCATGTACATATTTTACCAATTTAATTTTTTTTTAAAGATGACCGGTAAGGGGATCTTAACCCTTGACTTGGTGTTGTCAGCACCACGCTCAGCCAGTGAGCAAACCGGTCATCCCTATATAGGATCCGAACCCGTGGCCTTGGTGTTATCAGCACCGCACTCTCCCGAGTGAGCCACGGGCCGGCCTTTTACCAATTTAAATTATTTCTAGGGGCTGGCCGGTTACTTCACTTGATTCGAACACCAAGGTCAAGGGTTCGTATCCCTTTAGCGGCCAGCCGCCAAAAAAAATCCAGGTCATTTTATTATTTCATGTGGTTGAAGAGATGGTGAAGTGTAATGTCCAATATAAAAGCAAGAAGCACCTGTTTCTCCAAAAGCAGAGCCTTTTTCATTAAAAGGTGGAAAAAAGTGATTTCTTTATTTGGGGGTGTTGATGACTTTAATCTAGAGATTGGTGGAGCTCCCCCGTTCTCTTGGTAAGACTTCCAGGATTGGAAGTAGAGTTCTCAACTTATTTAAAATTAGTGGCATTATGGAGTAGTGGAAAGGACATGGATCTTGGAGTTAAAACATCCATGGAATCGAATCCTGGCGTTATCACTCACTGTGAACACGGGAAGAGTGATTTAACCTCCATGAGCTTCAGGTTGCTCTGTCTGTAAAATGAAGATGATGGCGTAGGGAGAAGTTTGTGTGGAAGCACTTGGCACCAGGCCTCGCACACAGTGCACAGTGGAGGTCAGTTCTCATGCCCTACGCCTTTCCCATGGCAAGGCTTTGTCTACTGATACAGTTTAAGTTCTTAATTCTTAATTCTTGTTTAATATATTTTATTTTAAACTGATCTTGTCAGAAATTGTGTGAGCAAATTAAATTATACATGTCACATTTCTTTTTGTTTCTCAACTAAGAAAGTGGCTTCTCTTCTAGAAAGTGGCCTAGAAATTGTTTTTTATGTGTTTTAAGTTTTTCCTTTTTTTTTTCTTGGCGGCTAGCCGGTATGGGGATCTGAACCCTTGACCTTGGTGTTGTAACACTGTGCTCCAACCAATGAACTAACTGGAAAAAAGGTGTAAAGAGGGTATTTTCTTTTTTTTTTTTTTTTTTTTTTTTTTTTTTTTAAACCATGGCTTCACTATTTCTGAAATTTTCTGTTTCTTGTGAAAGGACTGTTGGGAGAATCTTATTCCTTACCTCAGACTACAGCAACTCAACCCAACTCTAACCCAACCCAGTTCTCCCCATGATTTCAGTCCTAATTTTTTTTCTTTCCGCAAATACTAAATTTAGCAAAAATATAACTTCTTAGATATAATGTAAACAGCAAGTTTAAAAAGAAATCTCACGGAAGATTCTAACCAGTTATTACTCCCTCCCTCTGCTGTGTGTCACATACTTCAAGGGGGAAAAATGTCCCTGCCCTTACAAAGAATTTGCAACTTCAGGAGAACTGAACTCTTTAACTGACATCCCCTAAAGCTTTGGGGTAGCTCTTTTTTGTCCTAACCCTGAAATATTGCAGAGAAACCACCATCGGGGCAATTACAGCACGGCTTGTACTCATCTCTGCAAGTGTTAAAGGAGTGCTCCTAGCCATTAAATAAACCTGGACAAACATAGGGTGTAAGGAGCTCTGGTCAGAGGTGGCCCGTAGCATTCTCTCTCACTCCACCCAGTGGAATAGCCTAGTATAGCCTCCAGACAGGAACAGTTTGAGAACTAGACTGCCAGTCCTACCATTGAGCTCATCTAGGGCTTAGTGATTACTGTATCTCATATTCCACAGTTCTTTAGTCTAAAGCAGTGTGTTTCTCAACTTGGGGGTGATCCCCCTCCCTGCAGAGGTAATTTAGCAATGTCTGGAGACATTATTGGTTGTCAAAACTGAGCAGGTATGCTACTGGAATCTAGTGGGTAGAAGCCAAGGATGCTGCTGAACATTCTGTAATGCACAGGACAGCCCCTCAACAAAGAATTCTGCAGCCCAAAATGTCAATAATGCCAAGGTTAAGAAAACCTGGCCTACAGACTGCAGAGTGCTCACATCTATCATCTTAGTTGACCTTATGAAATTATTTGTTATTTGTTGTTTATACCACTAGATTATGAGATCCTGTGCCCTCTCCACTTCTGTATCTCCTACACCTGGACTGTGCATATAAGTGAGAACTTACTAAATATTTGAATTTATTTTTGTTATCTTTTGGAGTGATTTTTTGGATTTAAATAAATTAATGAATAAAAGCTATTAATCCAGTGTACATAATAGGTTAGCATGGATACAGTGGATCAGTATGTTTAGTTGACACCATTACTCCATTTGTGCAGCATGTGATTTCTGTTCTTTTTAAGCCATTTAATTGATTTCACATATAAAATGTTCATACCCTTGAACTTGTTACTTCTTAAAATCTTACCTAAAGTTTGTGGTGGAGGAAATTATAATTAAGTGGAGTAGAGGCAAGGTGAATAGCAGTGTGGCATTTCATAGTTCTGAGAGAAAGTGTGGTGTGTTTGGAAAATTGAAAAGTTCAACTTGGCCAGAACACGGAGTGTGATAAAAATGACAAGAAATGACGGGCCGGCCCAGTGGCACACT